CGTCTTACCCCAGAAGGAATGGCTATCATCAAGAAGTAAACCAATAACAAATGCTGGAGAGACTGTGAGGAAAAAAGGAATCCTTTTCCACTGTTGGTTGGAGTGCAGGCTGGTGCAACCACTGTGGAAATCTGTGTGGAGATTCCTAAAAAGCTAGGAGTAGAGGTCTCATTTCAACTGTGTACTCCTTCTGGGCATCTTTCAGGAGAATCCAAAACATCATATCACAGCAACATATGAGCAACCATGTTTATAGCAGCACAATTTGTAATAGCCAAACCTTGGAAACAACTAAGGAATGGATATAAAAGATGTAATTTTTAAAAACATATAATGGAATAATGCTCAGCCATAAAGAAGGATGTAAACTGGAGACTTTTTTAGTTAAATAGGTGCAACTTGAGACCATACTCCTAAGTGAAATAAATCAGGTGCACATGTATAAACATTGTATTGTCTCCCTGGTATGAAAAACTGAATGAGTAAATAAGATCTCAAAGTACAATAGATATTGTGAATTTGGAAGAAAGTGTTTAAAGGAAAAGAGAAACTGTGATGGAGGAAAGAGGAAAGGAAGGGAGAAAAATGCTATATATATATATATGATAACTAATGTAGTTCACTGAAAAGAAAAATTTGAGCTGATATTGTTTGGACAGTATCTCATCCCTATATATCTTATACTCTGAATAGCTTCTATGAAGATGACAATATGCAATAATTGATATTCTCATAGCCTGTTTTAAAACTTTTAGTGTAATTTTTTCCCCTTTTTAAAACAATAATAATAAAAATGCAAGCACCAAATTATGCTACCTGATTGTATCTTACCTGAAGTTTAGGATTCTAAAAGTGTCTAGATCTGTTTTATTTAGTTAAAGATCTGTGTTATTTAATGTAATAGCTATTATATACATACAGTTTTTTAAATTTAATTAAAATCATTTGAAATGAAAATCTGAATCTTGCGGTCAGGTTAGCTACATTTCAGGGGTTGAGAAGCCTTGTGTGACTAATGGCTATACTATTGGAAATTGCAGAGAATATTTCCATCATCACAGGAGGCTTTATAGAATAGTAGGGATATCATACAAGCCGTTTTATGTGTGTATAAATGTATACTGACAGTTTGAATATGAAATTAATTTAAAAGGTAAAATTGATTCCTGTATATTTTGTCTTATCCAAAATGCTGTCATTTTAATATACAGTAGTTCTACAAATAAATTATTTACTAATTTTTTCTCTTTTATGTATTTGGTACTGGGTCTCATTGTGCAGCTCAGATTTGTAGTGATCCTCCTGTTTTCAGCCTCCCATACGCTGGGCTTGTAGGTGTGCGCCATCACGCCCAGACTTGGTGGCAGGCTCAGTGTGTGCTGGGGGCTCAAAATGAATTATTTACATTCCTTTTTTCATCCTGTGCCCTCAAACCCTAATGTGTATTCTAGCTTTGCTCATATGTGATGCGTGCCTACCATATACACAGTACAAATTTAGAGGGTTACTAACTCTCCAGACAGTAAAGATGCAACTGTTGGCTACTATTGGATTCTCATATGTCTGTCAAAATATTACAAACACATTGAAGTTAGGAGCCATTTTTTTCCCTATATTTTAGGGAAAGGTCTACAGGGTGTTCAGGGTTTCACTACTAGATCAGAGTCGTAGTGATTCTCCTGTTTTACAGCCTCCCAAGTGCTAGGATTACAGGCACACGTCACCATGCCCAGTTTCAGTTGCTGGCTCAGTGTGCCTGGGGGAGGGGCCGGCATAGCAGGTCCCAGGGATCGTACCCTTGGCCCCTGCATCTGCTTGCAGGCACTTTAATCTGCTGAGCTATTTGGCCAGCCCTAGGAACCATATTTTATATTTATTGAACACTAGATTTAGGAAGATAATTGTTGTAGAAATGTGGACATAAAAGCTATATTTGATGCGTCAGAGATAAGGATTTTGGGCTGCTCCAATCTCACTGACATTATGTGAATCAGAGATATTTCTGGATAGTAAAGTGACTTAAAGCTTTAAGATAAAAACTGAGGGAATTTTTCACTCTTCATCTTACTGTTTTAGCAGCGTGTGACATTCTTTTCTTCACTCAAACTGTCTCAGAAAAGGTAGTCATAGGAAATAAAACATAGACCAATTAGATTTTTCATTTTAAAATACATACCAGGGCTGGCCAAATAGCTCAGTGGATTAAAGTGCCTCCAAGCAGATGCAGGGGTCAGAGGTTCGATTCCCAGCCTGCCGTTCTGCCCCACCTCTGAGATGTGCTGAGATGGCAATTTAGACTGGGCGTGGTGGTGCGTTGTAATCCCCGCACTTGGGAGGCTGTAAATAGAATCACTATGAGCCTGACCTAGGAGTGAGACCCCGAACACCCTGTAGATCCTTCACTAAAATACAGAAAACATAAAAAATTTAAAAAATACAAATACGTTATGAAAGAATAAAGGGATAATGGCTTTAGAAATTTTGGCACTGTAAGCCTAAAATTTTATCCCCTTTTTTCTTCTTATGGATGTTTCGTACTTGTCTGTTGTCTTGTAAGTGTGTGGCTGCATATGACGTACCAAAAATGTAGCTATCTTGTGGATTCTGACTTCAGATTTAAAATGTATCCCTAATAGGTTCAGTTTACCTAATCCTGCTTGTTGTACTTTTAATTTTAAAATATATTTTTGAAAATATATGTGCCATAATTTTGTTGAAATAAGGATGAAAATCTTTTTTATCCCATTTCAGCATTTTTATTTTTAGACTTACTAATAATACGCTGTTTTCTCCTAATCAACTTATTGATATACTTATGTTTCACCTTTTGATCATGTGTATTTCAGCACAATGTTGTTATAAAAGATGGAAGAGCACTGCATTTGCACAACTGGGTAATACAGGTTTTGTTACATAATACTATATGAAGAACCCCTCCTGTAGAATAACATGCACTTAGAAAAAAGCCTAAATATTTGTTTGTGGATTGAACCCAAAGCCTTTACACTGAGCAATGTCCCCAGCTCCTTTTCACTTTTATTTTGACATACATGTTGCTAAGTTGACAAGGCTGGGTTTGAAATTGTGATCCTCCTGTCTCAGTCTCACAGAGTGCTGGGATTATGTTTATGTCCCTGGGTTTGGCCAAAAAAGCGTGGGCATTTTAAATATTTAAACACTGCCTACAGGTCATAAGGTCAAACTTAGTCTCTCTCTCTCTCTCTCTCTCTCTCTCTCTCTCTCTCTCTCTCTCTTTCTCTTTCTT